AGAGGCGGAAATATGGCGACCACTAAAAATGCACACAATGGCACCACAGGGAGTTAGAAAAATATGTTATTGAGAAAAATTACAAAATATGATATTTTTATCTATCCACTCCTTACAATGGAATGGACTCCTTGCCAATAGTAGTGTTCCCGATATACGAAGTACGGGTTAATCTCATATGTTTGCATATCGGATAGACCCAACTGCGTTCACGCACGGGAGGAAACAGCGGTTAACACGAGCTAAGAAACGCCCTAAGTTGATAAGAATATACAAAAGTATAGTCATTTTAAATATGATTACAGTAAATAATGAGATATACATGTCGGTTCTATGGTCATACAAAACAATACATAGTAAAGCAAATTCAGAAAGTACAGATTGCAAAATATACAAGAAGCAGCACAGTATCTCATCGTCAGTTATTTTTTACAATATTTCTAGATGTATTGACGTTGAATTTCGTGTCGCAAACGGCATACCGAAATGAATAGTAATAGTAAAATGTAATAGCAAATCTTCCAAATGAACACAGAATACAATAGCCAGAGCTAAGCGTTCACTCATACTTCGTTAGCCTGGTTCGGGTCTTAAAAACTGTCCAGATTATTATCAATCCGTACTTAGCATTTCTTAGCCCGTACTAAGCGTTCGCGCACGTTTTCTTGGCCCGTGCTAAGGAGCTGTGCGTGAACGCTACTAATTACGATTTCTTAGTAAACATCAGTGTACATTAGTGTACATGGGCTTTGACAATTTACGCTGAAAATGCGTTTGTCCACGACAGTATACCCCGTTCAAAAGTACATGGCCGTCATTTTCATTAAATTGAAATTATCATTTTCATAACTTGCGATGTGCTCCCCATCTCCATGATCACATCTGCATAAAATTTCAACCACAATTCTTCTCACTCTCCCTCCCTGTCGGGATATGTCAGCTAAAAACAAAAGACTCGGGATTAAAAGATTAAGATTAAAAAGTCAGTTCATTATCTTTTTTAGCTCCATGACAACCTAAACTGCCTTGACACACTTTTCCAATTTGCCTAATTTGAAGTAAGACTGTTACTGTGAACCTCAAAATTAGAACGTCAATGCTCTTATGACACACGTTGAGAATGGTTCAACTTGCCATATTTGACCCCCGAATGCAAACATAACGTGTTCTCATCTGCTTTCACGTCGGGTACTTTGTAGTTCAATGCTAGTAGGTAATAGTTACGCCGGTGCTGATACTCTCCCCTCTTTATCAGGGAGAGGGTGGGGGTCAACTCCGCCATTTTAAACACATTTACGTCGGTGCATAGACCTACAAACCCCAGGAAGATCAGTGGAAATTTAGAGGTACAAATTATAGATCACCTGCGTATAATCAAAACCAAGGATGTTAGTTAATTACTGAATGAGTTTGCTAACTCGATACCCCAATACTTCCGAGACTGTTGTAGCGCTTCTGCTTATTTGGAGACAAAATTGTTCTGATTGGGCAAAAGTTGTCATGCGCAATGTCGACCACGACTCGTCACATAAACACATTAACCGTGATCTGTTTGTCGACCTTTCACATAACAGATATGTCAATTCTCTCGTCTATTTTGTCGAACATCATAAAATTCTGCTTGCGCTTTACAGTGGTTGTTTTTCACAGTAAATCTATGCATATTTTGACTAGTGACATTGCAAATCTATCGTTTTTTATAAGTTCGCCAGTTGTTCGATGATACAGGATGTATGGGTCATAGTCAGTCGTGTCTTATTGTGTTTGAGTCATTCGATGAGGTCAAAAATACATGTTTACGGTATATACGCCCTTGTAACATGTTCCCGTCTGTTTTTCTCTTACGTCGACGTATGTTGTGTCGGCATAAGGGACGCGAAAACAGGCGTGAAGATGGTATTGGTTGTGAATAATAACAAGGATTAAAACAATGTTTAAAGGACGGCAGTCGTCGCGTCGTGTTCTGTTCGATATGGGACTCATAGCGACGTATACAACGCGTGTAAAATACATTGTTCATTTACATGAAATTCGAATACACGCTGCACAACGACCACCGCGCTTTAAATACTAGTATATGATGCAATTATTTGAAGCTAGGCAGCAGACAGGGCGTTACTGTTGTTCAGGCATTTCAACTCTTACAACAGCTTACTTTCTTAATCAAAACAAAAGTTATCATAACTATAAGAGGGGGGTATATCGTCGGGTTTTATTGCCTACCGTAAACTAATACATAAACTAAAATTGTACAAAGCCGCTTGGGTAACATCTAGGGGAAACTAAGTCTGACGTGTTTCACTGCAAGCTCCAGGCCTGCTACACTATACATAGATAAACTCAAGGCCCATGCAAGGCCTAACACCTTGCCACAAACACGGACTTCTGGCATATTTCTTTCCATTTCTTCGTGATGATATCACAAAGTAAGCACATTGCAAGGTCGAATCAACCTCCGATAACAACCTTAGATTGTTAATTTGTTGGTCCATTTGTTGACTGGTCCTTCACAGGTACACCACGGCGTAACCTCGTGATAGACGTAAATCACTGCAGCAGACAGACGCCTTGAGTGTTGATTTTTTTCGCCAATCGTTAGATTACTTCAACATCGTCTTATCGTGTCAGATAAGAGGATACTAAAAATAAACATGTGTTTTCAAATTAATGATCAGTGTCAGCAAGAAATGATGTGTTGATTGTCCTGCTCGGCTGACCGATATCAAAATTAATCACGTGATCTTTTAGATATGATAGTGAAGTTGTATTTTCAATGTCAGATTTAAATTTGCAACAGTGTATTTGTAAATGTTTGTTCCCAGCTAGCTGCAAGTTTACGGAAATCCGGATAATAATGAGTTATTACTTTATTTCGATGAAGGATCATTGTCCAAAATGTCTGGTTATATTGAATACTAACTACTACTATTCTATAAATATTGTATAAATCTAGGATGCACGTGTCTTAGCGTTTATCACAATTTCATCTAACGTTTTCTTTTTTATTTACCGATAAATTATACCGTTTTGTTTAAACATGCAAATAGTACTCAAAATAGGATAATGTAGTAATGCTCTTGGCCCAATCGCGAGACTTTTGAGCAATATTAATATATTTTTTCGAATTATATACTATATATTTCGAATATGACAGTTAAAAAATAAATTCTTGTTTGCCTAAAATGAGTTCACCTCCGTTGCTTTCATTTACCAGTAGGGGCTTATGTTACGTTGAATTTCGTAACAAATATCACAGGTTCAGTTTTTACCATGGAGGTAATAAGAATGTTTACCTCCATGGTTTTTACGTAGCAGTTTCTGATTGGTTGCTTCATATGCCGAGTATCTTCACTCTATAATGGCATAGGCTATATAGCTTACATAACGTATTATATAATTGGTTCGTATAGAAAACGGACGGGGCAAAGTGGTGAACATTTACGTGATATTCTCGCTACGAATTTCGTCACCATTTTGAAAATATAACTTTCATTGCTCCTTATTTGGAATTCCTAAATGAAGTAGGGACGAATTTAGGGTGCAATAACTTCGTGTAACAAAGCAACGGGTGAATAATGAGACGTACAATAACTATACGAGTTAAATAATTCAATAATTTTGAAAATCATATTTCTCGAGTGTGAAGCTTGTTGCAAAATGTGCATATGATTCATATGCAAATTAGGGGGGAGTAAAGTGTAAATTACGTGACGTCTGATCACGCCAAGCTTATCCCGTGTAACGAAGTATAAAACATAAACGAACAAGAACAATGAAATATTTTAATTAAATTCACAACAATGATAACATGGAATATGGTTTCTTCAATCAGGTCATTAACTGCATACTGCGCACACAAATATGAAAAAGATATAAATAATATTCAATGTAGGTAACTATTGCTTGACATGAAAACTATTTAAAACCAGTTAATTATAATAGGTCACGCTTATGGCCCCTAATAACCTCACGTCGTGGTACTTTTGGTCTTATGACTGAATCGCAAACACACACAATTAAGGCATTTTAATGTAATTTATGTAATTGTTGAACAAATAATCAAGTTTAGGAAATTACCTTGAAATATCACACCAACGAAAGTACCAGGATGTGTGACCTTTAAGAGCTCATGAAAGTACCAGTATGTGTGACCTTTAAGAGCTCATGAAAGTAGCATATTGTCTTATTTTATACACAAGTTGTAATCCTCGATGGCACACCGTGAGAGGGGCTTTATACAACAATAATGACACGTGGTAACAGAAAGAAGTAGAACAAATGAGGAAATATAATTCAAATACAAAAGTTATTCCAACTCTGTGATCAGAAATTACATTTTTAGCACTTGAGTGAAAAACCACATAATTTTTAAAATCGATATAATTTTTATTTCTTTGCTGACAGTTCACAGTTGGTTAAAACCATGGAACTTATTTTGTTCTATTGTTAAACTTACACCAATACTGAGACTGAGGTGCGCAAACAGAGAAACTTTTGTTTAATCAAGTCATATAACCCTCTGTAACAGTTACATAAAAACACAAACATACATAATTCAAAGTTATTTTTTTTTTGCATCTTTGACATAACTTCAAAAAAGGCTAAGAATTTGCCATGAACCTAAGTTTCATCTGTAAAACTGAAAGCAGAAACTACTATAGGAAACACATGGCAGATCAATGGCTGTAAAATTAGAGATCTAACAAAAATTCCAGGTATCACATTGATTCGTATTAATTGCTAGACACGGCAATGTTATTAAACCAAATGTATATGCTCACTTAATCTCGCACGCCAAGTCACATTTACACAGGTTTAAACATGTTTGTAACGTTTATACTTCATTTCAAATGTTAAATTGTCCCACATTTAGCCGAACGACACACCTTGGGTTTTATCGGGCAACATAACCCAGTTATCAAGCTGAACCAACAATATTTCCGTTTTGCTGATAACTGCTTTGATGGCAAGCAATACTACATGTGACTTATTCCATATTGTATTAATATTTTATTTATATTTTGACGATATTCTGAGAATGTGCATGGTAAATCATGTATTATACCCGTGAAAGTAAAAAGAAGTTCAAAAACTGATTGACCCATGACCTCTATTAAAATAAGAATACAATGTCAGTGGAGGAAATTGTGTTAGTATCGGTGTATACTCCTTTCCGAATAATACCATGTCCGTCATTGTTCGCGGTGTTTGCTTTAGATAATTTCTAATCGGATATGACGAAACGTTGGAAGTCTGACGCAATGTGTTCTATTCTTGTCCAGGTATGCACGCAGATAGATCGTGCAGAGATACAGTATTGTCGTCGCCTACTTCAGGAACGGTAGATGGTTGCCATGCAGTAGTTTCCAGAACTCCTGCTGATTAGAAATAAAACAGTCAATAATGACAAATGTTGATTTTTCCAACACTGTCTTCGTGTATAAGTTAACGTCGCCTGCTCTCTGGAAGCAGCTTGGGTTAATTTAAAACTATAAACATGCCAGGTTTAGAATTACACGTGGCGATAAAGGAATGGACAGCCTCTGCAGGCGTGAGTGGGTCGGCGGATTAATATGGTGGTTCCTATTTTTACTTAGCTAATAGGAAAGGGATTTCTTGAATCTTGTACAGGGCAGTCAGACCCGGCAGTCAGACATTGTTCATTTTGAAATAACACGAGTATAGGTAAAATAGAATAAAATACATTAGAATTAGTCACCACAAAAATGAAAAACGACCCCCTCCCCGGAATGGAATAGAATAGTTGAACTTACTCAGCAGGTCGGTGAATGAGCTGCTACATACTGGACTGTTTTGATTCTCGTTTCCTAAAATACACGAATCGTCTCGGCTTTGCCGTTCTTCATCTGTAAATGAACATTTAAGACCAGGTTAAATCAAGGTCTTTGTAAATTACTGATAGTAGATACATTGTAAGTAAATTGCTTATCGTTATGCAAGGTCTTAGGTTAAAGGGCGGCAGTCGTCGTGCCGCGTCCTGTTCGATATGGGACTCATAGCGACGTATACAACGCGTGTAAAATACATTGTTTATTTACATGAAATTCGAACCCGCGCTACGAGACGACCACCGCGCTTTAACAATAAACTTGTAACGTTATTACTTTACGCGGACAATGAAGTTGATACATGTGGACTCCGTTCAATTAGAAAATGCCAGTTTCAATCGTTTGCCATATGCTAATACACAGGTGTAAAAAGTGTTTTTTACATGAAACACCCGCGTGTTAACTTTTTTAACACACCCACGTTCGTTCACCCACGTTATTGATAACCCGTAACAATTAATATAGTCGAAAATCGACTACTCGGTGATTCTATGAAGCTCAGTGTTTGGAACCACTGATAATGCCGCCGTTACATGCGCAAGCTTTATTTTTATCATGGTGTAAATCGTCTGAGTCCTACAAGTCGTTCATTCATCTTTTATCAGATCGCTGTCAAGCTTAATCGATAATCAACTGTCTACATATTTACTGTAGAATTATTTTATATAAACATGTACCAACACGTGGTCCGACTAGAAATACCGGTAAATGTGTGTGTTAAAGTTGTAGTTGAAATGTTACTCTAAATAAATTACACGTGTTGAACGACCAGGACAGGCTTCTGTGCGTACTGCTTGGTTTTGGGCTAGTAATCAGGTTGGAGTGTGTTGCATTCATCTTACCCCCGTTGCCTTATTGTTAGTCAATCCATGAAGCATTCCACAGTAGTTAATTTAAATTAATAAAAATAATTTACAATTTTGTATTTCGCCTGAACCTCATTACGCCTTTCATTTGCATATCCTGACACTGGGCGATGTGAAACGAGTTCTGAATGTTGGATTGAAACATTTTAATGAAATGGTCATGATCATACTGGTATTTTGAGGAATTATAAATTCATTGCTACTATGAATTGCAAGAAGTTGTCATCGAAATTTTAAAAAAGTTAAACATGATATAAATTTACATTAATATTGAAAATTATTGTTGTTTTTACGAAGAGCAAAAATGCCGTCAGAAAAAAACAACAACAGGATATGTGACTGTAGAAGCTACAGATAAGGTGACTTCCTGTCACACGGTATGGTGATATGGTACATATGGTATAGTCATCGCGTTGTGTTCGAGTACACAACACAAGTAAACTACGTTGTTCGTTTTCATTGAATTCCAGCGCACTGCCCGACAAATAACGCTCTTCGCGAAGCGCCATCGACAATATGTTTAAGTTGGACTATTAAAATTCACGATGCTGGGTGTATGTTATATATAGTGTTAGGTGTACCATGGAGCTCCATGGGTGTACTTTGCTCTTCTCTGTCGTTGAATGTAAGGTATTGCGAGGAAATTGAACAATGTTCAAGTAAATATCATATATTTAGCAAATGGTTTAAACAATTATTCTGTATTATGAAACCAAAGCGATCACAAGGTCTCTCATCAGCGTACCGTCAACATCGCTGACGAGAGATAAAGTAACATGCATATTTCTCGTTCCGAGATGAGATCGAAAACCTTTTCGCTTTTTTGGCAATTTGTGACTAGGATTATCTTGCAAAATGTGTAATAACAAATTGGGCTTTTCCCGATTTTATCGATACCGCCTCATGTTGGCGGTAATGATAAGAATGGCCAAGGTCTTTGAGCGGAGGTTGCATTTGGATCAAGATTTTCTTGAAAACCCGGTTAGATTCGACGGCAGGAAAAGTGAATAAACACTTGGCAATCACTGTTACGTAACAATGATGGTGAATGAAAAATCAATTGTCTGTTTATAAACAAGCTTTCTGTATTTACTGTCTTTAAATGCACAACATCGGCGCGGTTGGCCACCGACGTTGTTGTTGTAATAAGGGCTTATAGAAGTCTACAATCAACAAAGATGCTACCATCGTTTATTTTAGGCATTATAAACAATGATAATTAAGCAACAAGTCTGGAATTTAAATGATTTTAGTGCGATCCTCACAAGTTAATCTACAAGCATTAAAAGGAATTATTAGAATTGCATACAGTTTTTTGTTCATTTTTTTCAAAAGCCGGGTTACCGTTTATTTTGCGGTAACCCGTATTTCGCTATTTAGTACACTGACTCCCATATTTTATTTTATTTAAAAACATTAAACATTTAAAAAAGAGACTGTATACAACGGGTACTGGACATCTCACCTAAAACAATCTCGACCCGTTTTTTTTATTGTACAACACGACCCAGTACCCCTAAACATCTCGACCCACCTACACCTATAGCCAAAACAATGTCAGCTTGGACATTCAGTTGCGATACATGACAAACAACAAACAAAAAATGCAATTAAAGGCGCAAGTTTACAGTCCCTCTAGAGGGAATGTGGCAAGTTTAAAGGATTACTAGTATCTAAAATACTCCTTATATAGAGCAGTCGGGTGTTTAGCTGGCATTTGAAGGCTAGTCAGAATGATTGTACCCAACTTGTTTCTATGGCGACAACAATAATTAACGTCTACATATTTCCACCTCTCTGGGATTAAATAATTTGTCTTCAAAAATGTCATGCCTATTCTAAAACGCCACAGTGTGCGTTTGAATTTAAAGTAAACAAACAATATATTGTAAACGGGGTGTGTACGTCGCGTGTGGCTCATATTAAAAACGATGTAGAAATTGAACGTACCTGATTCTTGGTTATTTAGTTTCACTGGGTCTTGCATCAGACTTTGCATATTATCTACTACCACGTCTTCATTGTTGGTAATGTGTTGGTTCTTCTTCTGTGGAAATGGGGACCCAGAATACTCAGGCGTATAGTATCCATGGCTGTTGTTGCTAGTGTCCCGGTCAGCTCCATTCTTTTGTGGGAAGGGGCCTCCAGTGTATTCTGAGGATGCATTGTACCTATGGGTGCTGTTACTGGTATCGTGGACGTCTCCATTCCTTGGTTGGTGTTGGTAATCCGCAATGATATTGACCTGTTGTCGCTGTACACGTGGGTGATAATGGTGGTGTTGGCGAGACTGCTGTGACATTGGTCGCGGAGGTGGTGGTGATGGCGGTGGTGGTGGGTGTTGGTGGTAGTGACGATCGGACGGTGTTGGTGGTGGAGGTCGTGGTGATCGCGGAGGACATGGAGGTGCTGGTGGTTTCTGCAACGTTTGGGCTACAATGTTACAAGTCAGTGCAGCCAATGAACTCAGAAGTGATTGCGATGTACCTGGAAGTTTTAAATGCTGTGTGACCATGTGTTGAAGAGCGTTCATGTTCATTGCTGGTGATTGGGCATTTAACATTGGTGGAAATTCGTGTTCATTGTTAAGATGTTCTGCCTGTAGCTTATTTTGCATTCGAGCTGTTGCCCCACAGGTGCATGCTTCGTCAAGTGAGTTACATGGGGTACAAGTCGATGGGTTCCTCACGTTTTGATTGTCTGTGTGGCTAGCCTGGCGACTATGTAATTGTTGGTGGGATGTTGGATATCCGCTTGGATGCTTTTGAAAATCGTAATAGCTAGGTGTAGATACTGCACTGGCTTGGCCTAGTGATTTTAAAAGATCAGAAAATGCTGGTTGAAATGTACTGAGGTGATCGGTTGGCCCCGTCATCAACGGTGGACTTGGCATCTTTCCACTCCCGATAATAGAACACTCGCTAGATGAGCACGATGAGTCATCGCGATTAGCATGATCTGGTAGTGGCGACCCATTTTCACGCTGAAGCGTTGGTAGCGGCTCGTCTAACTTGTCATTATTAGAATGTCGACCTCGTTCAATTCTAGATACGTCGAATTTGCAATGCTTTTTGCTACACTCATGACTAAGAGGCTCTGATTTGATGGCACTATGTAATATAGTGTCATACCTTGATCTTTCATTGCAAGTTTGCAAATAACCTATAAGAGTGTGGACGAAATCGTCTACGTTGTTATGGCAACGTTTCTTTTCTTGAACCCATTGTGTTATTTCATTTACCAATTGATCATTGCCGCCGCAACACCCCGCCTTGTCGTTCAACAAGCCGTCTGGGTAGATTTGATGAATCTTGTTTAAATAATCAATTGTCATCTCCAATATTTCAGCTTTTTCTAACTTCTTGGCTGCATATGCCGTAACATTATACACCCTACATCCGGGTACTAGTGTTTTCAAAGTATTTAAACAACTGTTTATTCGGTCACGGCGTCTTTTCTCTATACTTTTGTGCGTGTCGAGATAATTTCTTGATTTCTTTCTAGCCGACATCTCTTCTAATTTATCTTCATACATTTCGACCGCGTGGCGTTTCGTTCCATGCGGGTGAAATGCCTTCATTCCCTCGGAATCAGGCATGTCATGTCTATGTAAGTCGCAGTTCTCGGGGCTGTACCTGAGAAAAATAAATGTAAACTACCATGAAATAATTGCACATCCGCAATACGTCCATCATAGTGTTGCATACACTACGGCGACAGTTTCGTAAGATACATACGTTATTGCATATGCCCCGTCAGTGTTTTCTAAATTATACAAGCTAGGAACGCGAGGGAGAATATTTAAAAAAAAAATCAGTGCAGAAACAATCGTGTAAAACAAAAATTCTATTCTATATAAACAAAACAAAAACTCACATTTTATAGGAATTATAAGGAAAGATTCTTAAATGGTTAAACCTTGTATTACACAAACTAGCTGACGTGAATCACATTATAACGTACCGGCCGTGTTTGTTCTATCGCTTCCATCACGTGCGACCTTAACATACGAGATAAACCCAACGTGTGTGGTTCACAAAGGCAAGTCAAAGAAGGCAAATAAACCTTCAAAACTTAAAAAAAAAGAATATCATTGAATTGATTGAAAAGCTTACATACATTTTATACGGCGTGGCCTGTAGTAGGAAACACTTCTTTCAATCAAGTCGTAAAATAACATAGGGCAGGCATATACAGGCTTTGAGCTGCGTAACTTCTCTGCGATACCTCCAATTAAAGTGAGTCAAACATATGGTGCACTCTAGTTAAATTGTAAATAATCACGTGATAGATCGTCGAGATGATATGCGAGATTTGACACCTATGAGTAAAGACACAATATATTCACATTATTATTACATTGATACTATAACGGGGTCGATCTTTATCATTTTCTGTAAAGAAATTTGAATTAAAATGAAAATATAAATATATTTACTACATGTTCGAAGCATAGAGTGGTCGGATTTGCTTTAACCATGGAAGGTACTAACGGACGATCATGGGGCAAAGCTAAAACAATAGCGTCGTGGCTCCTTCCGTTAGTACCTTATAGATATTTGGCGGGGGGGGGGGGTAAATCGGACGGTTTTGATAGTAGGTACGTTTATCCACAGTCCCAGTCCCTGCACAGTTCCTTGGGGACTGGTTTATCCTAGGGTCGATTTGAAAATGTTTTCACTCTAATATGAATAATGATTGAAAATGTTATTTTTTTATAATTTCCCTGGAAAATGGACAATCAGAAGACAACATATAATTCCAGTAACATGACATGGCATTTCAGTTCTGTTCGAATTCCAACTTGTGTGCAGCGCCGCTGCCGACGTCAAGGGAAATCGAATGTATATTTGCATATACATGTATGTTCAAAATCAGACAGAGTGTCGTAAAACTAACAATTCTTTTATTAATAAACATAAACATGTCATTCTTGTAAACTAGGAAATATAGTGCGTGCACGCGATCAGAGCTGGGTTTGAACTCTGATAATTTATCAAGGCCGAGCTTCTTGAATTCCGTCTCTAGCCGAAAATGCCCATCTGAAAACAACTAGTATTCCCGATCAGCCCACAATTCCTTGACATACTTATTAGTATTTAGACCACTCCTTTAAACTATTCTAAAACGCGTCCACGATTTGAAAACGCCGTATTCTGTCCATACAACGTCTTTTTTTAATCGGAGCCGAAATCACAAGGGCTTCGAATAACTTAAGTGAAATTTTGATAAAAAAATTAATAATTATATAATAATAATAACTTTATTACACTACTAAAAACCTTCAGAAGGTTTTTGTATGGTAAGGAACATAAATACAAAGAAATAAAAAACATACAATACATAAGAGATAAAAATAAAATGTTAGTAAAATAAAAGAAAAAATAAATTAATTACTTTCTGTGGTTTTAAAAATTGTGCTCTTTAAGTATTTTGCTAAAGTTATATTATTCTCCATAATCTTTTTTAAATATGGAATTCACACCCATTGTGTAAATATTTATTGCACACTCATCAAACAGTTTTTTTCTTTGTTCTATATAGCCTGTACAAAATAGCAGGAAATGTTTTTCATCTCCTAATGCTTTAGTGTTACATTTATTACAGTGTCTATATATGTATTTTTTTTTCTTTCTAAACCCAACTTGCAAGGCTGTGTGACTATTATAATGGGCTTAGAACAGAGGAGTTCTTTGCGTCTCTAATAAATGTACAGGCAGCATCTTACACGAGAGATCCAATCAATCATGAACCTTTTTCGACAATTAACAATTATGAATATTATAATAATGATTGTACGCCAAATGTTTACTCGAATAATGGTCAAGATTTTCTATAAATTCTAGTTAGAATCAAAGCGGAAAAGTAAAAGTCCCCTGTGAGTAAACCCTTGTCAATCACTGTTACGTAACAATGGAGTAAATACACTACCTTCTGTTATCCGGTTATTAGCAAGCCGTCTGTAAGTTCATATACAACTCAAACCATTGTAAAACCAGACGGATAACATCTATTGACCTAGGTGTGAACGCGGTTACTAAAGAAGTGACCGGGGTGTTAACTAGGATAATTTCTGTAGGATGTGCGCCACATCTGGTAGTTTACTGGCACAAGCCTGCCTGATGATTTCCGAACGCATTCGCTTTTATCTGTTTTATACATTTTCGTATTGGCATTCCAGTGTCAAAAGCCAACGGATTTAACCGGAAATGAAATCTATGAGTGTCAACTTTTTGAACGCCGTTCTGTTCAAATTGGTAATTTTTTTGAGAGAGGAACTTTCGCCTACGATTAATTTTATGAATATTCAGAGTAATATTTCTCTTTATTTTAACTTATGGCATCAATTGTGTGGACATATGTGTAGTTTTTGTGAATATTGCATTTGAAAATGTGCACGAAACAATGGATGTACTGAAGACCGTGGCGAAAATAAACAAACAATTCATTCACTACTGAGCCTTCACCGAAATCAAGTCACCTCGACCCCTATCCTGTTCGACCCTAGACACCTCGACCCCAAGTTAGACACCTTGACCCCTTACCCCCTAGTCACATCGACCCCCGGAGTTACACACTGTGCGTCACTTCGACTCGAGAATTATACAACACTGTACGACAAAAAAATATATGTTGTTACCGACAATTAACACCTTATACAAACAAACAAACAAACACATACCACTGCATGACAACTTACCGTCGTAAGTTGGATATTTTTATGTACATTATTACACCAACCACACAAACTTTAATATATTTATAATGTTCTATATCATCATGCAGTGTTTCCGTTATTTTACGCATTTTTAATCCTGATTCCGCAAAATAATTGACAGCTGCGCCTGTCCGTACCCGTTGGTTTCAGTTGCGTTTTTGGATCAAAAAACAGTTGCGCGAATACATTACTCACCCAGGCTAGTTTCCCCCCCCCCCACGGCCGACTTGCAACAATGTATTATATTTATTTCAAGCAAGTCAGTGGCAACAAATGCTGTCATATATGCTATTGTACAATGCAACTAATTATATATTTTCAGAAATGAGTTAAATATCTCCTATTAAAACACATCACAATCATGATAGTCTGTATACGGTGCTATAAATATAAGCCTGCATGCCTAGAAAATAAAATAAACATTCGTTTTAATAATTACACACCTTTTATTAAGTGTCAATATTAGTGACAACTGGTTTCGGCATCACCTCATTGAAGTATTACTTAGTAAAAATATGTGCGTCGGCAACACCTCCTTTGCGGGATAATTGGGTGTCACCGATCAAGTACAATGGTTCAGTCCAAGATGGCGTCATTTTGCAGTTGCGTGCGATAGAATGAACAGAAATCGACAAGCAACGAACATTAACTAGACAGTGAAATGAAATCGGTGGCCGACACACTCAGGGAAAGTATGATATTGTCGTATCAGTGTTGTATAATTCTTGGGTCGAAGTGACGCACAGTGTGTAACTCCGGGGGTCAAAGTGACTAGGGGGCAAGGAATCGAGGTGTCCAGGGTCGAACGGGATAGGGGTCGAGGTGACTAGAAATCGCCTTCACCAATGCACAACCCTCTAAAATGCCTAACAGCGGACTTTCCACTAAAGAACACAAAATTGCACACACGTACGAGAAAGTAATAAGTTCATGAATATGTAACAGCAGAAAAACGCAAACAAATCGTTAACTATCTGTTTGTTCTTGGCCACGGAGTTAAGCTCAAACATAAACAAAATCTTCGTTTTAATAGTCAGTCTTCAAATTTACCCAATTGTAACATTTTGCATTGAAAATTTTTTTGTAAGATGGTACGTACTTTAAAAAGTGGCCGCCTCAGACCGCCATCTGAGTTTTTAGGCAGTTAACTAGAAGGCACCCATGATGCTCTGCTTCATTTTATTTTTTGTCATTTTCTCTATTATGAATGCTATAATGTGAATAATTTTGAATGTAACATATCTGTGAACTTATACCCCACTACTAGTTCAGTAAGGCATTCTAGCTTCATGGTTGCTGTTTGAACATGTAGATCTATTACGTAATCGTTACCCCAGTGTGAAAACAGATTAGAACACAAAAGCAAACGCTGCACGCATCATACCAAAGGAAAAAGCCGCATTATTAGTAGTCATTACAGAGAGCTTTAGTAGGTGTGTAACCAAGAATTAAAATGTACATTAAGCCGAGAGTGGTAAATCTACAACGCAAACGCGTTCGGGGGAAAAGAAAAAAATGTTCGTATGTATATTTATTATCAAACATTCAAACTCCCTGTGCCGAAACTCGGCTCGAGTCGAGAATCACGCCCTCACTGTTGGACTGTTGACCCGTGTTTACGCGTGACGTGACCAACGGAAATTATGTGCTATAATTCCGTAATAAC